TAGGGCGGCGGTGTCCGACCGGGGACGCGGAGGGCGGCCGGGCAGGTGGGGCGCCGCCCGAAGGGTCGGGCGGAGAGCTGGGCTGCAGGCGCCGCCGCCGCGCTGCCCGCGCCGCCCCGCAGCCCGCCGCGGGAGGAGCGGGCGGCCGCCCGCCCGCGGCGTGCGTCTGGCTGAGCGGGGCGGGCGCGCCGGGACCACCCAGCGATGCTGCCGCCGCCGGTGTAGCGAGCCCCCGAGCGCGCTGCGGTGAAAGAAATGAACACGCCCACGAATGCTAGATGCCTGCGAGCTCCCTCGGCGGCACTGGAAAGGCAGAGTGGAGGCCTCCGAGTACCGGCTCCTTGCCCTTGGTCTTGGCGCTGCCCCTGCTGCTCACGGTCCACCATGGAGACGCTGTCCCAGGATTCTCTGCTGGAATGTCAGATCTGCTTCAACTACTACAGCCCCCGGCGGAGGCCCAAGCTGCCGGATTGCAAACACACCTGCTGTTCGGTGTGCCTCCAGCAGATGAGGACGAGCCAGAAGGACGTGAGGTGCCCCTGGTGCCGCGGCATCACCAAGCTGCCCCCTGGCTTCTCCTGTCGCAGCTGCCCGATGACCCCGAGGTCCTGGCGGTCATCGCCATTCCGCACACCTCCGAGCACACCCGGGTCTTCATCAAACTTCCTAGCAATGGGTGCTACATGCTGCCCTTGCCCATCTCCAAGGAGCGCACACTGCTGCCCGGAGACATGGGCTGCCGCCTGCTCCCCGGGAGCCAGCAGAAGTCCGTCACGGTGGTGACCATCCCTGCGGAACAGCAGCCGCTGCAAGGCGGGGCTCCGCAGGAGGCAGTGGCCGAGGAGCCGGACTGGCGGGGCGTGGTGAAAAGCTCCACCTGGTCGGGCGTGTGCACTGTCATCCTGGTGGCCTGTGTCTTGGTCTTCCTCCTGGGCATCGTGCTCCACAACATGTCTTGCATTTCTAAGCGCTTCACTGTGATATCCTGTGGCTGAGGCGGGGTGCAGGGAAGGCTCTTGTGGGTGTCAACTTAGGGGTTGAGTAGGTGTTGGTGACGGGATCCCAGCGAGAAGATGGGGGGCAACACTGACCATTTGGTGCTGAGCGCTGGCCTCTGGGTTGCCACTTGATTCACCTGAAGACAGATGCCAAGGGAGGAAGGTGAGGTCTCTACAAGATGTCAGGTGAATTGATCTGAGTGTGGATGGCAATGGCTTTGAAGATGATTGCATGCATCCTCATAATCATGAACTAAATGGGCTGTGATTTATGAGTTTTCAAGATCATGTTATGAGATAGACATACTCTACTTAGACCTTAAACCGTACATGTGCATACCATGTGATCTCTAAATGCGGTAGATGAAAATAAAGATGCTGTGTATACAAGTAGAATTAAATCTTGAATCCATGTAAAAAATTCAGTGAAGACATACACTGCAGGCTTCTTTGCTCTTTTTTTTTTTTTTTTAATGGAACCCAGTCTTCATCTAGTTGCTAAGATTTTTATGTATATATATATATATACATTTTGAATGGAACCCCAAATCAAAATAAGTGAAATGGATAGTCGTTTTTGTTTTTGGAGAAAATATTTGAACAAGTGTCTCCAGTGTGTTGTGTTTTGTCATGTACCTTCATTTTTCTTCGCTTGTGATTAGAGCTTGCTACATGTTTATTAAGCTGAAAGCCCACCAGGGAAGCAATAAACCAAGAAATAATGAGAAATGCCTAATCCCGCAGAAAACCTGTATGCCAGTTTTTCTCAAGCCATCTCACAAAATAAGAATTTAAAATGTAAATATTGTGTATTTGTGTGTGTATGTGTGTGTGATTTGATTTACCTCAGGTTTTTGAGTCTTTTCAGAAGAACCCCAGGATTAAGACCTCGTGGGCATGAAGAAGTCAAGTATCTGAAACGGTGGGCACCTCGATCCTCCCAATGAGACGTCCCGTACGCAACACCCCAATACTCACCCCTCTGCTCTGTGTTTAAGTCCTGTATTTTTTAAGGCACAAATGGAGAGTAACAAAAGTTTGACTTTTCTCCTAGTTCTGGAGTATTATAAAAGCCACACTTGTTGTTAGCAATGGCAAAACTGATGGGCATTTCAAAAGGCAGTCCACAATTATTTTTTTGAAAGATGCTGTTCCTTGAGCATTAGACCTTTTTGAATTCCAGTTTCCTCTTGTTGGTGTAAGCAAGAAAATCTTCTGTATTTCAAAATATGTTTTTTATTGAGAGAAATGGCAAGGTAGACTTACAATTCACATTCCTAATGTAAGTGTTCTTAAATGTGTAATGGTTTATAGATGTTCATAAAGAAAGAACTGCTGGATTAAATAATAAATTCTCAAAAAAAAAAAGAAAAACAATAAATAAAAAAGGCTAGAGTTTTCTAGAGTTTTGTTTGATTGTTTTGCCCTGGCTTGTGTATTGTTCACATAACTGGAACAAAATGGCTGAAGCAATTGGCTTATAACAAAGTTACTCATGGTTCTAGAAGTTTCAGTTCAATATCAGGCGGCACTATTGATTTGAACCTTGGATGAAGGCAGCATTCCATGGAGGGAACATATGGAACAGCAAAACCAGCCATTCCATAAGGTCTACCTCCTAGTCCACAGCACCTCCCAATAGCATCCCCCTAGGGAACAAGCCTTTCACACATGGACCTTTGGAGGATACTCATTTAAATAGAGCTGCCAGAGATTGTGGTAGGAGGTAGTAGATAAAAGCAGTATTAATAAGAGAAACTGGAAAACATACTGAGCAGAAAGCCAAATAGAATCTTGAATAGAAACTGATATAAAGTCAGAATAGTAACCAAATGTCTCAAAACAGACAAGTAATCGACTGTTTCATAAACACCACTGATTATGGTGAGGGCTGACTCAAGTATGCAGGTCGAGGGCACCAATAGCTTCAGCTTGAAAATTTAGTATAATATAAGGTAATACTTAAAGCAAGTCATTTAATTCATTTCCTTAAAGCTTTGTAGAGTCACATTTTATCTTAGTTGGATGAACTACATTGAAGTTCACAATCAAAGAGCATGTCTTTGAACATAAGTAGAACAGTAACTGTTCTACTTTTTATTTCTGTTTTATTACACAGAAATGAAAATGGGAAATGTACATGAAAAACTCTTGCATTTTTTATTTTTAAAAAATTAGCTAACACAAGTAGTTGTCAGTGAAATATGATATTCTCTGAGTACATGTAAATATATCAGGTCTGGTTTTTGGAAAAAGTGTTAATATAATTGACAATTTAATTTAGTTTCTACATGTCCTCTTAGAAAAAGTATAATTTTGCTTTAGGAACATAGTTTCCCTGGAAATACTTAACAGTAAGTTGTGGGCATGAAGTTTCTTGGTTTGAATTATCCCAAACCAGATGCCAAGATGTGGTCTGGTACACAAGTAGTTTATTGAAAGGTGATAAGAAAGCAGCAGAAAGGAGGAAATGAAGAAAGATAGGGAAGACAGAAAAGCCAATATAGTTTTTAACAAATAGTCCATTATTATTGTGGGAAACTCTAGATGGAACTGCCTCAGAATTGACCTATGGAGGGGCAGAGAATGCTGATTCTGATTGGCTGAGGGGCTTACGTATTTCTCCAATCTAAATTTCAGGTACTTCTGGATGGTTTCTCCTGCAGCGTTAGCAAAAGCCCCAATCAGAAAAGCAATGGACTCAGATATTTGCTTTTTGACATAGAATATAGGATTTAGGGGAGGTGTCCACTGTAGAGTCAACGAATTCAGAGGCAGACAAAGTTTACGTAAAATGAGAAATCACCAGTGTTTGCCAGTTTCATCCCTTGGACTACCGAATCTTCTCATGCCCTATATTGCTCATGCCTGATGACATAAGTCATCAGTCAGCCAAAATCTCTGAAACACCATAGGGTTAATTAAACAAGATAGAGTCTTCTAGCAACAAGAGGACAAATGGCAATAATTAAAATTAATCAAATCTTTTCTATAACCTCTTCTAAATTTTTAACTTTTTGTTCATAATTCTATTGATGTAATTTTTTCCCCCAATGGAATGACCTATATTTAATCTCTAAACTATGTGATCCCCTAGTTATTTCGGATTTCTGCAGTTGCATATTTATTGTTTCACTGATTGTGAAAGTATTAAGAGGTACTACAGTGGCTCCCAGCCTTCCCTTTCTGTAATATCTATTGACAGTCCTACAACCTCAAGTATTCATGATTTATCAGTGTTGATTATATTAAACAGTACAATAATACCTTTCTTTCCCTGTTACTCTATTAAAATGAGCAAACATATATTATTGCACTATCAGGAAAATAGTTTGCTGTTTTATAGGCATTGGTTTAATGTACACTGTATCCTGCATCAAAAATACATTGAATTTCTGCCCAAGACTGTAATCCTTCTGTTATTTTCTTGGCTGAAATTTAAGAAGCAGCCCCAATTTTCTCCCGGTTGGCAGTTTCCAGATGATGTGGTAGGAACACAGGATTACCTCTCTACATGCAACTGTCACATCTATTATTATAAAATTGGTCTTTGGATACAAGAAAATGTTATGGTGGTTAACATTTGTGGTAGACATGCTGCTCCTGTTCCTCCTATTTTCCCGATTAAGGACAAAGTAAGCTTGGAATTGTACCTTTATCTTTGGTGATTGTTCTAACACTCTACCATTGGGGAAACTTCTAAGTCATACAATATGGCCTTGGGTGCACTCTCATATTTCTTAGGAGAGATATCACATCCCAAGATCTGATTTCTGATATCCCTTGTGATATCTGATATCCCTTGCTCATGGGTCATATACTTTATTTAGATAATGGCATTGGTTGGAGCCCTGTGAAAAAGAAAAGCAAATTCATGTCCAGAATATATCATTTCCTAGTACAAAAAAAAAATCTATCCCTATGTGCGTACACAACCGGTGTAACTCTAAACCATGTATAACCAAAGAATGAGAAATTATACTTCACTTACGTATGATGTGTCAAAATGCATTTTACTATCATGTGTAACTAGAATTACAAAAAAAAATCTATGACATTTCTAAAATGAAAAGGGTTCACTATCAAGTGGGCAATTGAAATTCCTGAGGATTAGAAACATATTGAAATTGTTTATTATTATATTTTGCAAATGAATGTGATATATAGAGATAGCAGAAACTAAACAATCTTTGGTAAAAGGAAAGGGAACCCATGATATTGAAAGGTTGGGCCTATGCATAACTTTCTTCTCTGTCATTATGGCCTCTTAAGTGAACTTTACATTGGAAAATTGGCTCAGGTTGGAAACTGGACACAGGATTGTAACTTTTAATTGGAAAATCAGCCCCTAAGTTCTTTTTCTAGTGTATACTAAATTTGTAAGTGAGCAAATTTTGTTGGTTGTTCTTTAATTTTGGCCCTGTAGATTATATGGCCCAAGAACCATCTACCTAATATTCTTTAATTAATCTCTTCTGCCTACCATACAACTATTTATGGCATTTTCATCTACAAAGTTCTGGAGGAATAGTGCAGCCACTTGGTCTCTGTTATTAGGGTTTAGTCATCTTCATTGGTGTTAGTGTTTACCCTGCTGGCCTTCTTCTAGAAAACTTCACCATCGGTTTTCCAGCCTTTTACAGAACATCCTCTTCAGTTTGCCCATTTCTATTGACATTTAAATTTTTTCTCTTGCCAATAGTCACTGTCATTCTACCATTTATGTCTCATTTAACATGAATCACCTGTTTTTGCCATATACCTAGAAGTCATCATAGAAGCAAGTTCTCAGCAACTTCTAGGGACCTTAGATTTTTTTTTTTATCCTTATGTCTTAGAAGTGTACACCAAAGTAAGTAAATTCACAATACAATTTACTTGGACGACTTTTTACATTTTCTAGTAATTTTTTTTTTCTTTCAGCACATCAATGTGAGTAGAATGGGGTATTCTCCACAAACTGCTGCTTTCCTAGAGAGTATATTTGGATTAAATATTTCTTCTCTGGACAATTGTCTTAAGGTTCCATGTGTTCCTTTATCAAGGCTCCCATTTTAGTATGATATATTTAAGGCTGTGAATTCTTTCTACTTTGTCAGTAGGTTACTATAATTATTGTTAATATGTGTCTTAATTGCTAGAGTTAACACAGGATGCTGTGGTCTAAATATTTGTTTCTCTCTCAAATTTATGTGCTGAAATCCTAATGCCCAAGTTAGTAGTATTAGAAGATAAGATCTCTGAAATGTTATAAGGTCATGGGAGCAGAGGCTATAAATGAGATTAGTGCCCTTATTACAAGATTCCCCAGAGATCACCCTTGTCCAGGCAGATTGAGAGGGGGGTCTCTATGATCCAGAAAGTGTAACCTCACTATAATCTACCAGTGCCTTAATCTTGGACTTCCCAGCCTCCACAACTTTAAGAAATAAATTTCTGTTGTTTATGAGATAACCAGTTTATTATATTTTATTTTAGTAGCTCGAACAGACTAAGACACACAAGCTGTTGCTTCCTGGCAAGAAAGGTGCTATCACAATCCAATAGTTATTATCATCCACTCAACTTAATTTACCAAAAAGGAGTCCTTTTTTGCCTTCTGACAGATGAGTAATCTAATTCCAGAATCTTGTTCAAGGTTATTATTCCTAGGCCAATTTCCATTACCAACCTTCATAGTATGGTAGATTGTCCAGGAACAGAAATATTCAGAAGCTTAATGAGAAAAGCTGCCAGCATGTACATCAACTGTCCATAATGGCTACTCAGAGATGAGCCTAGGTAGTGTATAGTGTGCGCATCATAAATGTCTATTAGAATCAATCACTCATCCACAAAGATAATTCTAAAGAATTGCTCATATGTTTCCCCTGTGTATATCAAAAGATAAAATATATCAATTTTAATATATACTTAATAGATTTTTATACTTGTTATTATAAATTCGACATCAGAAAGGCAAGTGTGAATGTTACTTGAGCCAGCCCATTAAAATTCAAATGCTTGGGGCTGGGGATGTGGCTCAAGCAGTAACACACTCACCTGGCATGCGTGGGGCGCTGGGTTCGATCCTCAGCACCACATATAAATAAAAATGTTGTGTCCACTGAAAACTGAAAAATAAATATTTAAAAATTCTCTCTCTCTCTCCTCTTCTCTTTCTCTCTCTCTTTAAAAAAATTCAAATGCTCTAGAAAATCCTATTTGTTTAAGCCTCTCCTATGATTTCTCCTAATGCAGTTTTTAGACATACATTATCGTAAAATAAGTTTTGGAAGATGTTCTTTACATTAATATCCAGTCCATGTGTTTCAAAATACAGTATCAAAGATGACATGCAAAGAGTAATAAA